GGAGAGCAGCAAGTGGCGCCCTCCAGTGTTCGCTCTTGTGAAAGCCTCGGGTGCCTCACCCTTTGCTCTATGGTTCTTATGAAGCCAAGGGTACCAGGACCATCAATCAGCTCTGCAAATGTTACAGCTTCGGCTTAGGACTAGAAAGTCTGGACTCCTGAGTCCTTGACAGGTGGCCAGTGATATAATTCTCGGGATCCAGGTATCAGAGACCCTTGCCCTAAAGTCCTGCCGGCTCTCTGGAGCTCTTCGGCCACCAGGGCCTACGGTTTCTATTCTCTGACTCTTTCCAGGCCTGGGTCCACCCAGTCTCTCTGCTCCCACCCTCTCTACTTCCCCGCCCGCCCCAGCTGCGCTCCGGAGCTCTTCAGCCGACCCTTTTCCAGCTGCCAAGCAGTCAGCCACCTTGCCATGCTCGGCACTTCTTACCTCATGCCACTTCCTTCCTGTCAGCCTGCACTATTCAGGTGCTTATCGCCAAGGCTAACAAATGGAGTTCAGGCCCTGGGACCCACACACTCAGAGGAAAGAGTAAGCTGTCAGGCTTTACTGTGACCTTCACATGCATGCAAAAGCAAGTGTGCTCTCATGTGCGTGCACACACACACACACACACACACACACACAATCTTAAAAAATTTAAAATAGATGAATAAAAAATAGAAACAGGCAAGAGGACTTTTATTGGGCCTAACATCTCAAGAGCAGGGGAGGCATCATATCAGGGTGTTTCCTAGGCAACTCACCAAGTAAATCAAATAGCCTGCTCATACAGCCAGAGGAGGGGTGTGTACTGCAAATACAGTATTGCCCTTTTATACCAGGTCAAAGGTGTCTCTCTGCTGGATCACTGGGGGAAGTACTACTCCTCTGGCCAAAATGGGATGATTTTAGGGTCATTGAGGGGTCACTAAGGCTTGGGATAGCAAAAAGTGTAGCAAAAACTGGAACCGCGAGGCTGCCTCTGCAGAAGCCGGAGCATTAGCAGAGACGGTTGTGTAGATTTCTCAGAGCACTGGTGGAGTGCTCAGAATGGCTGATGTTGGCATGGACGTGGCTCTGCCTGCCAGTCCTTTAGCTCAGGACAATCAGGGCTGCTAATTAGGGAGTCAAATTGCCCACACCTCAGCATCTTTATTTACGGGAAAATGTACACGAAGAGTCATTACCACAAGCACAGCGATTTTAAACATTTTTAAATGTGTCTGTGTGAGTATATGACATGTGTGTGCAGGTGCCTACAGAGGTCGGAAAAGGGTGTCAGATCCCCTGGAGCCACAGTTACGGGCAGCTTTAAGTGTGATATGGGTGCTGGGAACCAAACCTGGGTCCTTTGGAAGAGTAGCAAGTGCTCTTCACAGCTGAGCCATCAAATTTTACCTGAGCTTTAATAATGGTTATCACCTGCCCGAGCCCCGGGGAGGGAGGGTCTCACCTGTTCTGCGAGCCAGCCTCGTTAGCAGGCTGTGCCCTATCGTCCGTGCAGGAGTAGCTAGCATGCAGTTTGAGCTTAATATTTGTGAGTTTGAGTTTAGATACGCGGCGCCTATTTTCGCAATGCCTAAGGGGCATCCAGGCCGAGAAACATCCTCAGAGGAGAGGGTGTAAAGTGGCTGTCTGTGGCTGAAAGGCGGCAGCCAGGTCCTGAGTGAGGACTATGTTAACCTGGGGACGGTGAAGCACCTAGGTGGGAGGTCTCACTGGTGTGGGCCTCGGAAGACAGGTCCCCAAAGCAGAGCGGCTAGAAGCGACCCAGGGTGACAGGTCTGTGCCTGGCCTCCATTCTGCACTCAGGAAACAGTGAATGAAAATCAGGCCTTTAAATGTGTTTGGCATCAGAGGCTCTTGGATGTTTCTGTCCCTAAAAAGGAATGTCTGAAAACAAGGAGCGGATCTCTCTTATTATTCATAACTTTTGTTTGGATGGTTTTTCAAGACAGTGGCTATGTAGCCCAGGCTGGCCTGAAACTTGGTGTGCATACAGAGCTGGTCTCTATGGGAATCCTGCGGTTGGCTCTGCCTCCTCACTGCAGAGACTGTGGGCCTGTGCCTCACAGTTTTTTTTTTTTCTTTTCACAAGATCTATGTTTGTTTGTTGTAGAAACAAGGCCGAAAATATAAAAGAACTATTTTAAAAAATCATTAGCCAGGTGTGGTGGCACATGCCTATAATCCCAGTACATGGGGGTGGGGGGCGGTGGGCAGAGTGAGGAGGATCACAAGTTCAAGTCCGGCCTGGACTACACCTGACACTGTCTCAAAACAAACATAAAAAAAAAATGAGGGGGTGGTGGGGGCACCCCTGTAATCCTACCACTTGGGAGATGGAGGCAGGAGGATCAGGAGTTCCGGGGCAGCCTTGGCTACCTAGCAAGTTAAGTTTGAGGCCAGCCTGGACTCGCTGAGACCTCTGCCTCTCTCTTACCCCCAAATCACGTAGTGAGGAAGTCAGTCATGCTGTGGATGTTTATGACTTTACCATCCAAAGGCAGTTCGGTTGGCAGGCTGCGTTGACACTGAACGTCTGGAGAAACGTTTCCAGTGACGATCCCCAGCGCCGCACGGTTTCTAACAGGCGGATCCCTCGGGGGGCACCGAGTGATGCTGGGCGGGGCAGAGCGCTGGGGCCCGGCGGGGCGGGGCGGGGCGGGGCGGGGCGGGCCGCGGGACCGAGGGAGGGGAGGGCGGCGTCCACGGGGCGGGGCGGGGCGGGGCGGGGCGCGGGACCGAGGGAGGGGAGGGCGGCGTCCACGGGGCGGGCAGGGTGGCCCGGGACCCTGCGGCGGCCGGCCCCAGGTGGGCGGCGCGGCCCAGGTGCGCCCGCCCGCCCGCCCGCTCCCCTCCTCCCCGCACGCCAGGGTGACGACCGTTAGCCCCGCCCGCAGCAGACGGCGCGGCAGCTCCGGGGCGGTCAGGCCCGGAATCGGGGAGGCCCCCACGTCCACGATAGCGGAGGAGGAAGGCCGGGGCGCGGCTGCCGCCCGGCGAGACGTCCCCAGTGGCTGACCCTCCCCGCATGCCGCCTGTCCCGTCCAGCCGCAGCCGTCGGGGCGCTGCTGCGCCGCTCGGTTGATTGCTCAGGTTTTTCTCTTTAAGTGGTTGTACCCTGGCATGAACTTTAGAGGCAAAGATGAGAGGCTTAGTTACTTGGAAGCCCGCCTTACTTTGACATGTCTTAAGAACTCAAGGTTGACTGATGGTAAGACATCGCACATGAACGGATGAGGACAGCTGCCTTAACTAAGTCGTTCTCTGACCTTGGACGTTTTCATTTGTAGATAAAAGAGTTCTGAGCCCTTTATCAGGACCTGCTTTTTGTTTTGTTTTTAAGTGAGCATCAAAAAGGTTCGTTTGGGCCATCAGTCAACTGTTGGGTCAGTACAGTAAGCCAGGCGATCTGTGGTTGCGTGAATAATTTCCAAAGTTTTGAAGCAGGCATTTTGGGGTACAGGAAAGATGAGAACGACAACAGCAGACAAAGCCTGTGGTTTTTCGGGGAGAGGGAGCATATCTGGGCTCCCATCTATCCCCAACGGTTTCGGCTTCATTTCCCAAATCCTAGGCTGCTGAGACACCTAGTGGTGAAGTAGGAGAACAGGTACATTTTAGAAGGCCGCTGGCCACGTGGAATAAAAAACAAGCTTTGATCCAACTTCAACAAATTGCTTGAATTTAATATTTTTTTTTCAGGAGAAAATGATTTATGAGATGAAACATTATTCCTTAATATTTGGGAGACAAAAATTTTTGAAAGTATAATGCAATTTGTTGAAAGCAAAGTTTAATCATCTTGACCTTCTGGGCATCAGGGGTCAAAACTGTCAAAAAGAGTAAAGGTTGAAAATTACTTTGCTCTGCAAAAATGATCTTCTATGGGGTTGGGGATTTAGCTCAGGTGGTAGAGCGCTTGCCTAGCAAGCACAAGGCCCTGGGTTTGATCCTCAAGGCTCTGGAAAATTAAAAAACAAAACAAAACAAAAAAAATGATCTTCTAGTATTGTGTTTACCGTAGTAGCTTCTGTAATATTCGTTTTTTCTCATATATCTAACTTATGTAACATAGATCACCAAATCCACATGGTGTAAAGAATGGACCCCCACAAGTTCTTGTCTACTTCCACAATGTGCTATGACATCACACATACACAAATGTGCATCACACACACCCACAAATAAATGGAAAGAAAAAACAGTGATTTTTAATTTTTTGTTTTATTTTTAATCATGTGTGTCTATATATGTGCATGAGTATGGGGCCCACAGAGACCAAAGGAGGGCAGCTGGAACCAGGGGCTGACAGCTGCCTAATGTGGGTGCTGGGAACTGAACCCGGGTCCTTTTCAAGAGCAGTATGAGTTCTTGACCTCTGAGCTGTAGCTCCATTCTCCCACAGTGATTTTTAAGTGGCTCCAGAACTTTGAAAGAAATAACTACCTGGACACAAAGAAGTTAGAATACTAAAACTAGATGTACATTCTTCAGTTCAAAACTATACAGTAACAAAATAATCTGAAAATAAGCTGTTACGTTTTTGTTAAGAATATTCCAAGAGCCGGGTGATGGTGGCACATGCCTTTAATCCCAGTGCTCAGGAGGCAGAGGCAGGCAGATGCCTATGAGTTTGAGGCCAGGCTGGTCTCCAAAGCGAGTTCCAGGACAGCCAGAGCTGTTACACAGAAAAAGCTTGTCCCAGGGAAAACAAAACAAAACAAAACAAAAACAAACAAGAATATTTCAATAAAATATTTGTACACAGTGCTTCGCCTGCAGTTGTCACATAATCAGAATATTTACATTCTGGTTTTATAGAAGGTGTTGTTTAAGTAGGAAATATGTGACAGTATATTATGAGGATTTACTTTTTAAGTAACTTCTGAAAAAATCGTTTTATAATTTCCCATTCTCTGTATTTAATGCAAATAATATATTTTGGTGTAAGCTGCTTGGCTCCTCATTGCAAAAGAAGGATAAACTTGTTTTTACTTTGTTAAAACAGAGAGCTCGAAGATGTCCCAAAGGTACTCAGCCAGCCAGGGAGCAGGGAGCAAAGAAGACTCCCCTACTGCCATTGCCAAGTGGTCCAGCCTCAGAGATTTTTGTTGCACATCTTCCTTCCAACATAGGGGCCATCGTGAGCTCTCGGGAACTTGCAGCTTCATGAAGAAGGAAAAAGACCCAGTGTTAACCCATGAGCATCTTGAAACGCCAAGGCGAGGCTCAGCCAATCCTGCAGCATCTCCCAGTCAAAGAAAGAAATCTGTGTTCCCAAGGAAGGAGCAGGGTGGAAGCCCAGAACTCTGTGAGACTCCTAAAGTCAAAAGAAGAACAAGCTCATTACGCAGGCGGCTCGACTTATCTTTCACTTTTCTGAAGGGGGATTCTGATCCACAAAGCAGTTCTCTGGAAAGCAGTGGAAGCCGCGTTCTTAGCCTAGAAAAGCATATCCCAGACAGCACTTCAGGTTTCCCAAAGCAGGACAACTTCAGCCCATTAGTTACCAGCTCAATAAAAACAGAGGATGTGACTTCTAGCAGTCAGAACTCAAGGTTAAGTTTTTCTCAGCACAAGACTTCCACAATTGATGATTCCACAGGGGAGTGCGGCTTATTCGAAGTAGAGTGCCTGTCTCCAATTCAAGGCAATGATTTTACAGGTTCTATCACACACGACTTTAGTGACAGCACTTTAAGTGTTAGTGATGAGAACACATGTCCTGAACTTCTGGGCTCCTCTGGTAGTCAGACAACCTACGGAGCAGATGTAACCACATCTGTAACTCCAGTAAGTAGTCTCATATCAAAAATTAGATTTAAAGGGGGCCAAACGCTTTCTTCTACAGCAGAAGTGAGAGACAGTGTCTCCACCCCTGAAGACAGTGGTTTTAGCTCCCTTAGCTGGGATAAGTCGGAAGATTCCCTTTCTGACCAAGAGGGCTCTTTGCAAGAACTGTTTCAGAAACGCAAGGGAACTCCCAGAGTGGGGAACCTCGTAAAAAAGCCAAAGCATCTTGGAAGGCTGAGAAGGCTGTCTACTCTGCGGGAGCAAGGCTCCCAGTCAGAGACGGAAGATGAAAAGCAGGTGGCTCCTCCCAACTCTGAAACGCGAGTGGGCGCAGCTTCTGGCATCTTGGAGGGTCAGGGAGGCTCCAATGAGAAGATCGTGGATTCGGCTTTAAGCTTTAAGAAGTTATCAAATACGCCAGCCTTGCAGTTAGTGCATGAGCTCTTTATGAAAAGCAAAAGGAAGCGATCCCAGCAGGAGGATGACCAGGAGTTCTTTGAGGAAAGGGATGATGGGAAAATAGACAGACTGCAGCGTGTTCTGGCCGGACTGATTGGCAAGAAGATGGGCATAGAACATCTGGATATCTTGACAGAATTACAGTACAGAAATTTGAAGCATATTTTAGCTATGGTTTTAGATTCCTTGACTTCGGAGAGTTTATACAGGTAAGAAATAAAAACTGCTCATGAAAGAAAACTTTCATCGCCTTTTAAATTGGTGTTTGCTTTGTTGTTTTTTCTGTCTTTGGTTGTATTACACTACATCCGAGGTTGGTTAAATGACCTCCTGAGTAGAGATTGCTAAGTAATTCCTTCTGTTTAAAAGCAAAATAATGGTGCAGGCCTGTAATCCCAGATACTTGAGAGTCCTGGGCAGAAGGATTGCTCAGGTTCAAGGTCAAGACAAGAAAAATCAAGATGATGTTTTTGGTGGTGGTGGGCTGTGTGGGAGCCAGAAGTCAACCCATATTCTTCAGTCTTTCTAACTGCTCTCCACTATACCTTTTGAGACAAGGTCTCTTACTGAATGTGGAGCTCACCAATTAGGCTGGCCAAGCTCCCAGGATCCTCCTGGCTCCACCTTCCCACACTGGGATTACAAGTGTGTGCTGGGCCTTTTATGTTGATGACCCAAACGCAGGTCTTTTCGCTTACGCAGTAAGTACTTTGCTAACTGAGAGGTCTCTCCAGTGCCTCCTACCCTCCCACTCTGTGTGTGCGCGCGCGCGTGTGTGTGTGTGTGTGTGTGTGTGTGCGTGTGTGCGTGAAAGAGAGAGTCAGAGACAGACAGACAGACAGACAGACAGGGTCTCTTGTATCCCAGGCTAGCCTTATACTCACTATGTAGTTGAGGATGACCTTGAACTCCTGATCCTCTTGCCTCCACCATTCGGGTTCTGGTGTTACAAGGTGTGTGCCACCATGCCCAATTTATTCCACAGATTTTTAAACGTTTTATTTAAAAATTCACATCCCATTGTCAGCTACAAATTGTTTTAAAGCTATAATACTTGACCAGAAATAAGAGAAATAATTATGGTAACTGAGAAACTATCACAAATAATGGATATTATTATTTAGTCCAAACGCTAGAATCTGAGAAAAATAGCTCGCTTTCATTTTAGGGTTTGGTCCTCAGAGGCCTTGTTTCCTCTGTTGTTAACACAGCAGAGAGAGGTAGTTGTGTCTGAGAGATTCGAATCTGAGGAACTTGTGTCCACAGATACTGTACTAGGTTTCGTGGTTACGGAGGGGCTTGCAGAGATTTGGGGATGGAGGGTGGGATCAGATGACAATGACCACAAACAAGACTGCATTGCAGGGCCGTCACAAGGCAGGACACTCAGATGTCACGCCAGCGAGAAGAAGCCATGTGGCACAGGAGGCCAGGGGCCATGCAGTAGTCAGTGACCCTCTTTAAAAAGATTGTAATTATTTGCATGTGGGGATCAGAGGACCATTTACATCAGTTCCCCCTCTACCGTGTGGGTCCTCAGGCCTGGTGACACCTCCTGCCTCATGGGAAGGTATCTTGTGTGGATTATGTCCTTGCTATTTTTATGGCTGCTGCTCCCCAAACCCGTCTTTGCTTTTCTCCCACACGTTTATTTCAGGCTATTGTAGAAAGTTACACATTTTGTTGCTAGAAGTCTTCTGAGGTATCTTGTCTGCCTGTGTCATTTGCAGATGAAAAAACATCCCTAGATAAGTTAAATCACCTGCAGCAGTCCAGAAATAGATGGAGGTCTACCCCCCGGGCTCCAACATCTTCCTGAAAACTCTTAATGTTCTGCCCCCTTTCAGAGTATATTTGGTAAAGCACATGTTGGTGTAACCCAGATGGATAACATATGCACATGTGTGTGCATCTGTGTGTGCATTTCAAAGGTGTTCAAATGGTAAGTTGTCTAAAAAATTACCATGGCTGAATACAGGAATGTTGTTTTTAAACGTTGAAGTATTTCAGAACAGGAAAGTCAGAGCTCTGGGCGACAGTTAGGTGGCTGCTTACATGAGCCACTGGTACTGGCCGTACATCAGTGACTTCCGCCCCCTGTAGAGTATTTGTAGCAAAGAATGTGTGTTTATGATCTTAATGGTACTCTTTTTGATAACATGAGGGATGAAGATGAGATAGTTATGGAGAAGTGTGTGTGTGTGTGCGCGCGCACGTGCGCGCGTGCCCACGCGCCCACGCTAGTGCATGCCATGGCACTCATGGAGGTCAGAGGACAACTTTGTGGAATCAGTTCTCTACTTCACTTTTATGTGTGATGAGACTCAGGTTGTCACGTTGGCATGACCCCTGGCCCCGGGTGACTTTCTGCCCACCTCTAGTGTGAGGTAAAGCATGTAGATTGACTTAGAGAGGTGATGCCAAGGCAACACCTCTGCATCACCAAGGCAACATCAATCAGTGTTGATAACTGGAACGTTGCCTGGGCCCTCAGGGTGAGCACCTTCTTTCCTAGTCTTCTGCTCTCTTTCCGTGATTGGCTAAATTAAAACACGAAAGAAAGACTAACGGTTCTTTTCACTACGTAGCTGTTGAGAGCTAAAGAGGCTGAAGCTGGGCTCTAGCTGCCGCCGCCGTGAGCTTTGTGAATAAAATAGACACTATTGGCAACAGGACTCTCTTCAGCATTAGACACAGGACCCTATATGATTAAATATGGCGCTACCCCCAATGGGGTCTATTATTTGTCACTTATGCTTCTGATGAAGGGCTATTCCTATGTCCATTTGACCAAAAGTGGCAGATTTGCTAGGCACAGGAGAATAGGAGAAATCAACTTAGCTTCTCATACTAGATGATAATCATTTGCTGCGTGTTGTGTTCCAAATTTATATCAAATATCACATGATCCTAACAGGCCAGCGACCCTGAACTGGTGTGTGTATCCCAGCCTGGCCCTGAACTGGTGTGTGTATCCCAGCCTGGCCCTGAACTGGTGTGTGTATCCCAGCCTGGCCCTGAACTGGTGTGTGTATATATCCCAGCCTGGCCCTGAACTGGTGCGTGTATCCCAGCCTGGCCCTGAACTGGTGTGTGTATCCCAGCTTGGCCCTGCATTCATGGCAGTCAGTCCTGCCTCATCTTCCCAAGTGCTTGGATTAGAGCTATAAACCACCATCCACGGCTTACGTTGGTTTACAGGGCCGGCAGTGTGATCAGCAGGTAAGATCACTTACCACCAATCCTGATGGTCTGAGTTCAATTCCTGGGACCCACATGCTGGAAAAGAGAACTGAATTTCACTAGTTGTCCTCTGACCAGGCATGTATGTGCCCTTAATATATACAAAAATACAGTTTTTAAAAAATTAAATGAGCATAAATGGAAGAGTGATCTATCAAGATAATGCCACTATGTGCTTAGTATTTTAATAGGAATTCTTTCATATGGTAACTCAATCTGAAACAGTGAGTTGATCAAATCATATTATTATGTAATTTCAAGCTTAAATTTCCTGTTCAAGAGCTTTAAAATTATGTTTATTATTGGTTATCTTATAAGAAAAGTTCAACCTTTGGAGAGCACACAGTAACAGACTGACTTGTCTATTGTAGTGCTTGGAATGTCAGCAGAAACTGGCGTGAAATTGTGGCTCAGGACAAAAAGGCAAACGAGAGGAGGAAGCTCTATATCATACAGCTGAAAGCAAACACTCAGGTAATGTGCAGGACACTTCCCAGAAGTGGCTTGCAGCTAGTGACGCCACATCTCTGAGCTCCAAGCTTGGTCTTTCTCTTATCTGCCAGTCTTTTCCATGTAGCAAACATTCCCTTAGAAGTTCTACTTTTTCTAAACTCTTTCCACCTAGTCCATAAGTACAGTGGAGAACCAAGCTGTTTACATGGTGGACTTGTTGACAGTGTTCAAATACCAATGACTTTCTAGAGCCTCTTCATAGTTAGATGCCCTTGTAGCATTTAAGAACCCAGTGTTTTAAGCACACATTGCATGCCAGCCTTTGTACAAGTTGCTCAGATCACTATGATGGACGTCTCTGATGTCTCTGACATGGCCCCTGCTGCTTGGGGGTCATGTGCTGGGATGGCACAGCTGGACAAGAGACTGTAGCACAGGTGTGTCTAGAGAGTCTCAAGTTCTACTTGACATTTCAAAGGACTGTTGAACAGGTCCTTGGGAATCAAAAGGAGACCTTGCTGAGACCTGGGCCAGGAGTTGCAGGTCAGTGAGGCAGGCAAGGCAGGGGAGCAGTGGCTCAGGAGGGTGCCCTTGGCAGGTCGAGGGGTGGCATAGCTTGTCCTCCTTTGAGAATTTGAGTCTTACAGAAACTGACAAATTCATCACAGAGACACGGCTTTGTGTCACGGACAGTGGGAACACCATAATAACTGGGATGGAACATGATCTAAACAAGTAAGACCATCTAAGTGCACATTTGTGGATTTCTCTTCCTGTGAGATACTGGGGACTAATGTCAAGTAAAACTCTGAGGAAAAGTTTTACCTTGTTACTGTGAGGCAGCATTGGGGCGTGTTCTCAGTGTCTGGCCGCTGACAGCTGTGGCACCTGACCCTGGGGCCACCAAACAGTGAAGCCATTGACATTATAACCACTTCCTTCATGTGTGTTTTTTAAAGTGTGTGCGTGCCTGAGCGTGCATGCACACTCGCATTGGCAAGCATGTTCTCCTGGGCCACAGCACACACGTGGAGGTCACCGCACAAGAGTTGGTTCTCTCCTTCCCCCTTGTGGGTCTTGGGGAGGTCAGAAGATAAGAGAGCTCAAACTCAGGTTGGCAGCCTTGGTGACAAGCACCTTAACATGCTGAGCCATCTTACCAGGCCCCACATAATGTTTTTAAAGACTATTGTCCTATGTATGAGGGACAAGCTTTAAAAAATAGTTTCAAATAGTTGGGTGGTGGTGGCACATGCCTTTAATCCAAACACTTGAGAGATAGAGGCAGGCGGATCTCCAAGTTCAAGGCCAGCCTGGTCTATACAGAGAAACCCTGTCCCCAAAAAACAAAAACAAACAAACAAATAAAATGAAGAGAAAGAAGAGGAGGAAGGAGGAGGAAGAAGAGGAGGGGGAGAAGAGACAACCTTGGAGGAGTGAGGTTGGAGGCGGTGAGGTTGGAGGAGTGAGGTTGGAGGAGTGAGGTTGGAGGAGTGAGGTTGGAGGAGTGAGGTTGGAGGAGTGAGGCTGGAGGAGGTGAGGCTGGAGGAGTGAGGTTGGAGGAGGTGAGGTTGGAGGAGGTGAGGTTGGAGGAGGTGAGGCTGGAGGAGGTGAGGCTGGAGGAGGTGAGGCTGGAGGAGGTGAGGCTGGAGGAGGTGAGGTTGGAGGAGTGAGGTTGGAGGAGGTGAGGTTGGAGGAGGTGAGGTTGGAGGAGTGAGGTTGGAGGAGGTGAGGTTGGAGGAGGTGAGGCTGGAGGAGGTGAGGCTGGAGGAGGTGAGGCTGGAGGAGGTGAGGTTGGAGGAGGTGAGGTTGGAGGAGTGAGGTTGGAGGAGGTGAGGTTGGAGGAGGTGAGGTTGGAGGAGGTGAGGTTGGAGGAGGTGAGGCTGGAGGAGGTGAGGCTGGAGGAGGTGAGGCTGGAGGAGGTGAGGCTGGAGGAGTGAGGTTGGAGGAGGTGAGGTTGGAGGAGGTGAGGCTGGAGGAGGTGAGGTTGGAGGAGGTGAGGTTGGAGGAGGTGAGGTTGGAGGAGTGAGGTTGGAGGAGGTGAGGTTGGAGGAGGTGAGGTTGGAGGAGGTGAGGTTGGAGGAGTGAGGTTGGAGGAGGTGAGGTTGGAGGAGGTGAGGTTGGAGGAGGTGAGGTTGGAGGAGTGAGGTTGGAGGAGGTGAGGTTGGAGGAGGTGAGGTTGGAGGAGTGAGGTTGGAGGAGGTGAGGTTGGAGGAGGTGAGGTTGGAGGAGGTGAGGTTGGAGGAGGTGAGGTGGAGTAGCAGGTAAAGGCACTGCTGACTAACCCAACAACGGGATCTTGAACTCTCTCAGGTTGTCTTATGCTTCTCCATGCGGTGGCGCATGCGTGACCCTCCCACATGTAAAGAGATGTCAGTAAAGAACGATGCACCCTCCTCCTCCTCGAGTCTCACTGTGTAGCTGAAGCTGGCACTGATCTCTGTCCCCCAGAACTGTCGCTCCCGGCTTCCGGTCTGGCTCCTCAAAGGCTGCGTTTTCCCGATACACGTCCTTGTACGCGTTTGCTATCAGAGCTCCTTCCAATCACAACAAGCTTTCACAGTAAAATGGATTATAGGTTTATACCAAAGCTTCTCACTCTCCTCTGGCACTGTCGGGCTTGCTTCTGTAGACAGTGTCTGACGCTGTATTCCAGAACTCACAGTGTAACCCCAGATGGCCTCGAACTCGTGGTGGTCCTCCTCCTGCCTCGCCTTCCTGAGTTCTGGGATTACAGGTTTGTATGAGACTGCACACCAGACTCCTGGTCTCTGCTTCTATTTCTTGTATTTCTAGGTAATGTACTTGGAATGCTAGTTATTTATTTATTTTTATTTTTTGAGACAGTATTTAGTATTTCTCTGTGTAGCCCTGGCTGTTCAGGAACTCACTTTGTAGACCACGCTGGCCTTGAACTCAAGATTCACCTGCCTCTGCCTCCCAGGTGCTGGGATTAAAAGTGTATGTCACCATGCCCAGCCGAACTTTGTTATTTTATCTGGAAGGGATTCAGTTGGTTTTCCAGCCACTCAGCACTAGTACCTCGCCCTACCACTCTCCTCTCTGGATCACTGTCTTACGGCCATAATTACATCACCAGTCATGGGTGAGTCAGACTCAGGTGTGAAGAGAGGCTATATCAAGAGGATTATGACATGTACGCTATTGTTAAACGTTTGTGCTTTGTTTTTTGAGGGGGGGGGGTCTCACTGTGAAAGCCTGGAACTCTGTATGTAGACAAGGCCAACCTTAAGCTTGTGGCAATCCTCCTGCCTCTGCCTCTTGAATGCTGGGACTACAGGTGTATACCACCATGTCCTGCTTAGTATGTTTGTGTGTGCACGTGCCTCTGTATGTGTGTGTGTGTGTGTGCATGTATGCATGTGTACGTATGTGTGTGTGCCCATGTGGAGGCCAGAAGCCAATGTCAGGTGTGTTCCTTTTGTTCCCTACCTTACTTCTGTGGCAGACCATCTCTCATGAACTGGAGCTCAGCAGCTTGGCTAAGCTGGGCTGGTCCCTGTGCTCCAGGGACCTGCTTGTCTCTGCCTGCCCAGGACTGGAGTTGCAGGCACGGACCACTTTGGCCAGCTTCTCCCTGAGGGCCGGGGATCCAAACTCAGCTCCTTACACTTGCAAAAGCCCTTTCCTCACTGAACCAGCTCCCCAGACTGTAAACAGGGTTTCATGGAACTCAGACTGGCTTTGAACTCACTTTGTCCCTAAGGCTGGCCTTGAACTCCTTGGGCCCTCCTGCTTCTGTCCCTCCAGTGCTGGGATCACTGCACATGCTGTCACACCCAGCACACCATTCTACATGTCTTCCTGTGGAACTTCCTCCCAGGATGAATTATTGCTGCCTCTCTGTGTGTCTCTCTCTGCGTGCTCTGTCCATCTATTTCCCCCAACCTCTCTCTCTCTGTGTGTGTGTGTGTGTGTGTGTGTGTGTGTGTGTGTGTGTGTGTGTGTCTGTCCCCTCTCAGTGTTTCTCTCTACAGATTCTGGATTAATCTTCTCTTGAAGTCTCCTCTATGTGAATTCCAACACAGTCTACGTTCCTCCTTTTCCCCAGAGGTCCCCTTCCCAGAGCCCCATGCCCTCCTAGTCCACATGAACCCATGCACTTATGTCTGGCCTGTCTTTATTTTATTTTATTTTTTTAGATTTATTTATTTATTACGTACACAGAAGAGGGCGCCAGATCTCATTACAGATGGTTGTGAGCCACCATGTGGTTGCTGGGAATTGAACTCAGGACCTCTGGGAGAACAGTCAGTGCTCTTAACCTCTGAGCCATCTCTCCAGCCCCTGGCCTGTCTTATATCACTCGCCCAAACAGAAACATTTCAAAACAGTTGTCTAGCGAATTTCCTCAGATTGCACAGTGTCTCCGAAAGGTACTGGGCTGAGTGCATTCACCAGGAGCTGAGCCTCATCTCTCCTCCATCTTTAGACCCGTGTGCATGCCCGCCCGCCCGCTGGAGCTGCTTGTTCCTTTCCCCAACAGTCCTCATGTGTTCTCCACTGCTCTCATACATGTGGGATGAACAGCAATTAGACGACTCCATTTTCACAGTTAAGTATTTTTAGTAATCCAGCACTCAGGTGGCAGAGGTGGGTGAGTCTGGATTCGAGGCTGGCAGGACTACAGGAGAGAGAACTGTGTTTTGTAGAATGTTAGCAGGCGTGAACACACGCGTCTGTGGACTGCTTTGTCTCCTAGACATTAAAACCAAACCCAGAAAAACTGTCACCAATTGGACATTCCATAAGTACTCACTAAATGAATGACTGTTTCTTCTCGATTTGCTTCAGCTGACACCTTGACTCATTCAATTGACACTCGTGAGTTGCGTCAGGACCCAGCAGGTGTTCTTTTAGTGAGCTCTTGATTGGGCACTGTGGCCCACACTACAAATGGTAGAACTGTCATAAAAGACAGTCCTCCGACACATTCAACACGTGCAACTGCGTTCACACTCTAACTGAAGGCCAGCATTGGCTCATTCCAGGGATTTGAAAACTGTAACCACTTTGCTTCTCAGGACCCACCAACTGCACCCCTGTCTTAGTCTACTATAATTTCTCATGTTTCATTTTCCTGCTGGGGCCAAGTACAGCTCAGGAGACTCCCGAGAGAAGTACAATTACAGTTGAATTGTGAAGAAACTCATCTAGTGTGTTCATCCTGATAGTTGGCTCACCTTGCCTGTTTTTTTTTTTTTTTTTTTTTTTGGTTTTCCGAGACAGGGTTTCTCTGTGTAGCTTTGCGCCTTTCCTGGTACTCGCTTTGGAGACCAGGCTGGCCTCGAACTCACAGAGATCCGCCTGCCTCTGCCTCCCGAGTGCTGGGATTAAAGGCGTGCGCCACCACCGCCCGGCCACCTTGCCTGTTTTTTAGAGAGACATTCCCCCCATTACAACCTTAACAAAGTATAAGACTGTACAGATCACTTATTGAAAATGCTTTTCTAATTATTTTTTCCAATTTTATTGAGGTATCTAATTGAAAAAAGGACCTTGTATAATTTTAAGGTGTACAAGCCAATTAACAAGTTTTTGACAGAACATTTGAATAATGTGGGAATCTAGTTCAGATGAGAAATGCTTTTGCTCCTTTAAAAATATCAAGGCTATATAAAACAACCATAACAATGAATCAGAACCAGATCTTGGCAGACCAGCCAAAGACCCTGGGTTATATGACCTCAGCAGTCCTTTGTCTGTCCAACATGTGCTTAAGGTAAGAACTGCAGATTCCACGGCAGACTTTGAAAAGATTGGCCCCTCCCCAACTCTCCTCTTTTTAGACATTGGCTCTAAAATGGATTGCAAGCTGTGGTTTGTAGCCCAAGTCCTTTCTGTCCCCTGTGTTCTCAAAGTAAGTTTGATTGGACAGCTCTTCTCTTTGGTATTTCTGCTGTCGAGCCCAGAGCTGAGCAGCTGTGGCTACATGGTCTGCAGTCTAATGTGTGCTAGTTTATACCTCCTGACTCCATAGAGGAGAAGTTTGCCGATAATAAATAAACGACTTAAATGGAAAAGTAATGATCATATCCACAGAAAACCAGGTTGAGAGAGAGAGAGAGAGAGAGAGAGAGAGAGAGAGAGAGAGAGAGAGAGAGAGAGATCATGACCACCCACCCGTGCCAAGGCTTGAGCATGGAGGTCAGGACAACTTTGAGGAGTTGGTTCTGGCCATCCACCTTGTTGGTACAGGATCTCTCTTGTTTAGGCTGCTGTGCTATAGACTCCCAGGCAATTCTCCTGCCTCCACATCCCATCTCACTCGTAGGCGTGCATGACCACATCAGGCTCTCATGGCTAATGCACTTCCCTGCAGATCTATCTCCAAACTTGTTTTCTTTGACTTAAAAGTTAGATGGGAAAAGATTGCCTGCCCCCAGCTCCCGCACTCCTAAAGGAGGACTAATCCAGGGGAAGAGCCTGGTCGTACAAACCACTCCCAACATTGAAATCCAGCCCAGGTAGAACGCTGTCTTGGCTTGGGAAGTTTCTGATTTTTCAGTATCACTTCTTCCTGTCTTTACTACAGGGGGCTGTGTTACATGTTCAGGATGCTGCCACTCGGCTCCAGCTTCTAAGTCGCTCAGCCTTAAGGTCAGTGCAGGCACAGGCGCAGGCACCCACTTCTCAGAACGAGCCAACACCAACTCTGTCCCCTTGGGGAGATGTTTTGACGCCCGTAGCAAGTTCTTCCTTCACCCACCTAAGGAGTAAACAGGAACAGTACGTAAAGGTGAGTGTGGATCATAAGTTATCGGAATTATAGTGTGGCATAAAGTGATGTCGGAGTTGCACTGGAAGACTGAGTGTCCTGCTTCCACTGCAGGTTGCCAGGACTCTTTTCAGTGACGAAGCGTTAAAACCTTGCCCAAGGTGCCAGTCCCCTGCTAAGTACCAGCCGTATAGGAAGAGGGGGCTGTGCAGTCGTCTGGCCTGCGGCTTTGACTTTTGTGTGCTTTGTTTGTGTGCCTACCATGAGTCTGAAGAGTGTGTGAGGGGGTCGGCAAAGCCACGGAGCAGTGGAGATGCTCTTCCAGGGAGTGCCCAGAGCAAGCGGAATTTAAGACGGCTCTAAAGAGACTAAGGAACCCCCCCTGCTGGCTGGCCGTGTTCTGTCTGACTTAAAATTATGGCTGTTTTGAACACATGCAAATCTTCCCATTGATGACAGATGATGATTTATTTCCTGTTTTGTATATGTTATAATGCATACCATTGTATATTTTCTTTAAAGTGATTAGTTTTGAGAGAATTTTATTTTACTATGTCATATTCCCACTTTGAATAACTTAATATTTTAAATAAAGAATTTTCAGGGTTGTTACATATGTGTGTTTTACTGCTTCATGTAACTTTTAAATTTGTGCATTTCATAACTATGTGTTGAAATGTTCTTCTATTGTTTTTTTAAATAATTTCCCAAATAATTTGAAAAATTTTAACTTTAGACCAGTGCACTTACAGGTTTAGAAAATGAGCTGATGGCTGAAATTAAATATAAATAAAATGTTTTTAGAAGTTCCATCAAATGTAATCCATAATTTCAATCTTTCTCTTACTTGCTATTTTAGTAGACTTTTGGCTCAGTAAAATTTACTTAATACTAATAATTTAAATGTCAATTATGGAGACTCTGTAGTTACTCATACAGAATTTTATTAACAAACTCCTATAAGTCACACATTTATAATTAAATACTTAAAAATTTTGGAATTATAGCCACAGATTCTAATATTCTGAAAAATCTGGACTGGGTGGAAAAGACAGGTTTTGAATAGGAAAATGTATGAAGTCATTGATAATGGATGCTATAATTTGTGTATGTAATGTACCTTTTTCCAAGAATAATTTCAGTGGCAAAAAGAGATAAGTTTTATTTGAAAAATTAGTATAAAAAGGGACATTTTTTGTTTGTTATTTCGAGATAGGGTCTCACTGTGTAGCTCTGGCTGTCCTAGAACTCACTATGTAGACCAGGCTGGCCTCGAACTCACAGAGATCCGAGTGCCTCTGCCTCCCGAGTGCTGGGTTTAAAGACACCTGGCCACAAGAGGAGAACTTTTTTAAAAAATAATTTTATTTATTTTTATTTTTATGTGCATTGGTGTTTTATCTGCATGTATGTCTGTGTGAGGGTGTCGAATCTCCTGGGACTGGAGTTCCAGACAGTTGTGAGCTGCCATGTGGGTACTAAGAGTTGAACCTGGGTCCTTTGGAAGAGCAGCCAGTGCTCTTAACTGCTGAGCCATCTCTCTAGACTCATAAGAGGGAAACTTTGACAACAGATTTATAATTTGTGTGCTTAGGTGACTGCTGTATGAACAGTATGTGTGTGTACGTATTTAAATGAAGCTGGAAAATAATTCAAGTGTTTAAGATTTATATATATATATATATATATTCTATTTGGTTTTAATTAAGTTGAATGTCTTTTTGTTTCCTTTTCTTTCTTTTTCTTTTGATAGACTTTTACTTTGTATGTAGCTCAGGCTGGCAAGGAAGTTACTACATACACAAGGCAATCCTCCTGTCTCAGCCTACTTGAGTGCTGGGATTACAGGCCATCACACCCATCTTGGTATCTGTTTAATTTCCTGAGACGTCTTCTGAAATGTACTAATGATACTGTAGTCTTCACTGTTGGTTGCAGAGGCTTTTAAATGTACTTTTTGGGAATTTACTTCAGTCCTGATTCTCTTACTGTATGAAGTCACCTCTTCGATTACTTCCTCTCTTGAACTGCTCACTAACTGGGCAGGTTCATGCTGACTGCTTCCTTCATCCCTCAGGGGAGGGAGTTTAAGGACAGTGTACTGGGAAGCCGCCCAGAGACTCCAAAGGGACAGCAGTTGGTGCTGCTGCTCATTTGGAGAAGTGTGGGCCAATAGCACAGAACCTGAGGCGGAGTGAACCGTGGGGTCAGTGTCTGAACTGCTCACAAACTGGCTGGCTGAACACAGATGCACAGGCCATTCACTGAGTTGCTAAGACTCTGTTCTAAGCCCTTCCTCGCTGTGATTCCAAGAACGTATCTGTTAGAAGCTGTTGCCCTTAACTGCTGAATCATCTCTCCAGCCCTGGAGGAAATCATCTTACTCCTTTTAATATAACGGGAAATTGGGGATCGGGGAGATGACTTTGTGTGAGGCCACACAGGCAGCACAAGGTCAGGATTATAGCAGAGGCATCTCTGTTGGTGCAGGACAGAGGTCTTTGCACAGCTCTGTTTGAGAACTCAATACATGTGTGATTACAGTGCCTTAAATGGAAGGTGGCTTTGCTATTAACAATTTTCTTGGCCCATTTTAGGGGAAAAATTCTAATTACAAATAATTCTACTTGAGTAATTCCTCCATTCCTGCATGACTTAAAAACTCTTATCATTCAAAAACGTAAATGAAGCCGGCGTGCAGCAAACTCCCAGGACCCCAGCGTGCGAGGGCCGGGAGTCCGTCCTCATCTTTGCCTCCCTAACGCATCTGAGGCTGACCTGGGCTGTGTGAGACCCTGTCTCAAAACCAAAAATGAAACAACAACAACAATCCCCCTCAAAAAACAACTCAAAACCAGGGAAACAACAGCAACAACAAAGAACCTGTGCTCATGGCAGTCCCACGGCCTCCTCACCTCGGACGCAAGCGCGCTCGCTCCGAGGGCAGCGCCACCAGGCTCGGCTTTCCACCCCACGTCCTCATCTGCTGCTGGGAGAAGGGAGAGGTGAGGAAGACTCACAGTTATGTGGGGCCGCTCCGTGTTCTCACAGGGCTTCCAAAAGAAAGGGATGGGGACGTTGGCTCATTCCTCATTCTGTTTCATTTCTTTAAAAACAAGGAAATAAAGACCACTGCTTCCGAGGAGAAGCAGTGGAACGTTACCTTTCACTGTTGGTGTAAGGACGTCGAATTCCTCTCCCCACTTGCCATGGTCAGTCTCTTTGACAGCCTTTATAGTTGAGGCAAGAATATTCTAGTGAACTGACTCTCATCTCCTATAGCTTGGGAAAAAGGCAACAAACTGTGTCAAATATGAAGAGAAAACAACAAAAGCAAGCTGATCATTTCATACTAGTTTTCCCGTGGGCACAAAGAAGGGTATTGAAATTTATTGTGACTTTTTAAAGCACTAGGTTTAATTGTGGATTTATTAAGATTGAAATTGCAAGATATTAAAGCCATTTTATGTTGCTAGCTTTTAAAAACCAACAACAAGAAAAATCAAAACAAAACAAAAGGCATCACAGGTTCTCATGTGGACCAAGCTGGCCTCAAACTCTCTATGGAGCCAAGGATGACCCAAGAACCTGTAGGTGTGTGCCAGCATGTCTGGGTTATGGGATGCTGTGGACTGAACTTGGGACTTCATGTGTGCCGAATAAGCATTCTACCAACCAAGGCATACCTCTAGTCCAGAGACCTTTATTTTAATATATTTGTATTAATTTTTTAGAATTTCATATATGTGTACAATGTAATTTGATACAAGAAACATTTTGATACCTTGGCACTGTTAAATTAAGTTCTTCTAAAATGTGTTTATTTTAGATGATGTGTATATTTGTATCTGTGTATGGGTATGTGCATATGAGGGCAGGTGCCTGATGGACCTGGAGTCACACATGTGAGCTGCCCAGGGTGGGTGCTGGGACTGAGCTCGGGTTCTTTGCAACAGTAGTACTTGCTCTTAACCTCTGAGCCATGGCTCCAACCACCAAAGCTAAGTTCTAGTCCATTGGCTTAACCAATTGTATACATTACAGTTATAAATGCATGACACAAAGATTTACTGGGGATTTTGGCACTTAATAAATTACATCCCTGTTTATGCTAGTTCTTTTTTTTTTCCCCCACATTTTGTTTTGTTTTTTGTTTTTCAAGATCGGGTTTCTCTGTGTAGTTTTGTTGCCTTTCTTGGAATTCACTCTGTAGCCCAGGCTGGCCTCGAACTCACAGAGATCCACTTGGCTCTGCCTCCCGAATGCTGGGACTAAAGGCGTGTGGCACCACCGCCCGGCTATTTCTTTAAATTATTTCTGTTTAAAATAGTATTTTGAAAGATCAAATTACCTACTCATTTCAAATACAGCAGTTAATTTTTCAAAGAGAATACTAAAACATGTCACTAGGGGGCACCAAAGACTTATTTATGGTGATAAGGGCCTTCCACAAGTAAATTTAGCTTTTATGAGTTTGACACATACTGTGACATTTCCAAATAGGGGAACTGTTTCTTTACTTCATTAAAAAAAAAGTATATGTAGAATAAATTTGAGAAATAGTTATTACTCAGTTATTTTGACTAGCTTGAAAGTGTGTAATATTTTCCAGGACGTTGACAGAGCACTTTGTCGGTGGATGCATATGTGTGCTTTAACTGTATTAACTTGCCCACCAGACCCCCACCCCTGGCTCCCTCATCGTGGACTGTGGAGATGGGCAGATGAGTGTGCACTGTGAAAATGGTGTCATGTTCCTGCAGGAAGCAGGGACAGGGTTCAGATCTTAGTCACATCCTGACACTCCTGCGAATGTTCCCAGCAACGTCTCATTCCAGGTTCTTTGTACTAAACCGTGGCCCACACCACCTTCCTTCCTTCCTTCCTTCCTTCCTTCCTTCCTTCCTTCCTTCCTTCCTTCCTTCCTTCCTTCCTTTTTGATGTTTGTTTTTTCAAGACAGGGTTTCTCTGTGTGGTCCTGGCTGTCCTGGAACTTTCTTTGTAGACCAGGCTGACCTTGAACTCACTGCCTCTGCCTCCTGAGTGCTGGGATTAAAGGCTGCACCACCACGCCCAGCTACATGGCTTCCTCTTAAAGTCCAGACTGAGCAGTCTCTCCCACTATTCATTGTGCACTCTCTATTCCAAACAAGCTGTTTCAGCTCCCCTGTACTTCTCTTGCTTCTTCCTTCTCTTGCCGCATGGACTTAGACTCCAGCTGCCCATCGTTCCTTCCTGTCTGTCATCATCTGATCTCTCCAAGATGAAATTTTTACCTTCTTTGAATCTCGTGTTTATCTTTTCTTTGTGGTCTTCTCCGTGACTCACTGGTGTTAAAGCCTTGTCTCCCACCATTCGAGAGTTCTTGGAGGGCAGAACTCGAACCTTTCTACCTCCGTTGGCAAAGCACCTCCTGCGTGGTGGACTGCAGAGAGGCTTGGCTGAATGGCCGCAGTGATAAGAGTTGGTGGCCATGTGACATGACAACTTTATCCACGTCTCATTGTCCTTCTCCAGCCAGTAGCCTAGGAAACTTCAACTGCAGCTATTAATTTTCA